TTATTAATGTACATTTTTAATGTAGTAAGGTATATACAATATAAAATTTATCATTTTAACCTTTCTCATATTACTAAGATTTCTCTCCCTCATTTTTACTGAAAACTAATAAAATTGTATTACTTTTAGGTGTATAACATAATGATTTGATATATGTATACATTGGGAATATTATAGGGTCTGGCAGAAGTAACGCTTGCTTGAGTGTGGTTGGTAGGGTAATAATATGGGTGTAATAATTTACAGTTTTAATTTGAACATTTCACCTAAAATGTCATATGGTGTGCTTGAGTGTGATATTAATATGTTACAGAAATACATGGTTATGATTTTGTAATAAAAAGGCATTCTGTGCGCCAGACCCTGTATTTGATATTTTCAATGGGAAATAACATCAGGAAGCATTAAGAGGCAATCGATTTCCTGCCTGCTAGTGTGAGGAGCTTCACAGGTCCACTCCCCATCAAACTGACGGAAAATATTAAAAAGAAATTATTTAAAGTCTCTGGAAATGGTCCTAAGGGCATACAGCCACGAGGAAACATCTATACAAGAAAATCTATGAGAAAATTTGGTTAGAACAGTGAGTGTCTGTGCTATTTGATATCTCCTACCTCCCTTTTACCAGTTCGGCAAGATGGAAGCTGCACTCCAGACTGGTACAGTAGGGCTTGCTCTCCTCTAGCCCCCAATCAGGGGGCTATCTTCTTAGGAGGGGCAGCAAGTCAATATTTCTCATCTTGCCCTCAGCTACCTAAGTTGTAAGGCAAGTGCAGCTCTTCAAAGATAGAACGGAACTTTCCAAAATTATGGAATGACTCCAATCACCAGATCCAAGAAGTTCAGGAATCCCAAGCAGAATAGATGAAAAGAAATCTGCGCCCTGGCTGGGTAGCTCAGTTGGTTAGGGCATTGTCCTGATTCACCATGGTTTTGGGTTTGGTGCCTGGTCAGAGCACATACAAGAATCAATCAATGAGTCCTGGACAGTGTGGCTCAATTGGTTGGAGCGTTGTTCTATAACCTAAAGGTTGCAGGTTTGATTCCCCATCAGGGAACACACCTGGGCTGCAGATTCAGTCCCTGGTCCAGGAGCGTCTGGGAGGCAACCAATAGGTGCTTCTCTCTCACATCAATATTTCTGTCTCTCCCTTCCTCACTCTCTAAAAAGCCATAAAAAATGTCCTCAGGTGAGGATTAAAAAATAGAACCAACCAATGAAAGCATAAATAAGTGGAACAACAAATTGATGCCTCTCTCCCTCTCCCTACCCCCACTTCCTCTCTTTCTAAAGATCAATTAAAAATAAAATAAAAATTAAAAAGTCCATAATTAGACACATCTTGTGGAACTTCAAACTGGAAAAAAAAAAAAGGAATAATTTTTGAAAAGAAACTAGAAAGATAAAAACATCACAAGAAATCACGCTTAGATTGAGATCCTACTTCTTAATAGTGATAATTAAAATGACAGCGAAGCCCTGGCTGGTTTGGCTCAGTGGACTGAGTGCCAGCCTGGGAACTGAGAGATCACTGGTTCAGTTCCTAGTTGGGGCACATGCCTGGGTTGCGGGCCAGGTCCCCAGTTGGGAACGAAGCAAGAAGCTACAGATCCACGTATCTTTTGAACATTGATGTTTCTCTCCCTCTCTCCCTTTCTTCCCCTCTCTCTAAAAGTATATAAATAGAATCTTTAAAAAAGAGTGACAATGGAATATGTTCAACATGCCAAGAAAAAATAATTATCAACCTAGCATTGTATACCCAGTGAAACTCTTGGCCAAGAGCCAGGGCAAATACATTTATTTTCAGGTAAATAAAAATTTAGAGATTATCAACTTAGGGTATTTATTATTGAAAGAAATTTCAAAGATGTTCTTCAGATAAACATATTAATCTGAGATTCAAAGTCTCAGTGAATATAAGTTATAAGCAAAGATATTGCCGTACACGTGGGTATACGTATCAATATGTAAAATCAGATAAAAAAATGAATTGAGAAGAATAAAAGGTGGAAAGTTTTAACAATAAAAAAAAAAACGCAATAGAGACAGGAGAGGAAAAGCAAATAAAAGAACCCTCAGCCTTGGCTGGGTAGCTCAGTTGGTTAGAGCGTCATCCCAATCAAGCGTTGCAGGATTGATTCCCAGTCAGGGCACACACAAGAACCAACCAGTGAATGCATAAATCAGTGGAACAACAAATCAGTGTTTCTCTGTCTCTGTCTCTCTCTCTCTCTCTCTAAAAAAAAACATTAAATTAAAAAAAAAGAACCCTCAGATTCTACACAAATAATCTGTAGAAAGATGGAATCAGATCCAATGTATCAGTAAACATTATAAATGTAAATGGATCAATCTTGTCAGTAAAAGGTAAAGAATATGGGAATGTTTGAAAGATACAAAATTCTGTTCTTTTTTTTGTTTTCTAAGGACACATCTTAAACAAGGCAGAAAATGTCAAGGTCAGGGGATGTACAAAAATATTTAAGTGTTACCATAACATGAGGGAAGCTGGAATATTAGTTGTATTAGTATCAAATAAAAATATTTATACAAAGCCATAGGCTGTGGGGATAGGGGAATGGGAATTAAAGAGAAGAAAGATGAGAGAGACCTTACATGGATTGGTGTAATTCAAAGACTATGAATAACTCAAACCTCTGCATTTGAAATCCACAAAGAAGGGAACAAAATTATATGAAAACATCAGGAGCAACTGTAGGTCAATAAATTTGATACCACAGATAAATTAATTCTTAGAAAAACTCTACTTACCTATATTGACTTGAGAAGAAATAGAACACCTGAATAGTCTAAGTTTAAAATATTCCTACAAGGAAAACAATATAACCAGGCTTGGGCAAGACAGTACTATAAGCAAGGACAATTATAGACCAATATAATTTATAGCCAAGATGCAAAAATGCTAAATAAAATATTAATTTAAAAATATTAAATGTGCCACAATCTAAAAAAAAAATGAAGAAGATGGATTTATTTCAGGAATGGAAATAAAATTTATTAATAAGTTAGAGAAGAACATTTATGTCATTGGGCATTTTATTTTTTTAATATTGATATCAGAGAGAGGGGAAGAGAAGGAGAGAAACAGATCTAATCAGTTGCCTTTCTCATGCCTCCCAATGGGAGACTGAACTCGCAAGCCAGGCATGTGCCCTGACAGGAACTGAACCCACGACCCTTGGGTTCACGGAATGATGCTCCAACCAACTGAGCCACACAGGCCAAGGCTCATTGGGCATTTTAAATTAAATAAGACAAATTATATGGTTATCTCTATAGATACAGAAAAAGTGTACAATAAACATTTATTTACAGTAAAAATCTGTGAATGAACTAAGAATTGAAAGGACCCTTTCTTGCTTTTTTTTTTTTCTTAATATGGTGCATTTAAAAAACCTACAACAGATAACTTACATAAGGGTGAATTGTTGCAATCATTTGCTTTAAAATGCCTTCTGGTATATAGTATAAGGAGTCAATGACAGAAGTCCAAACAGTGATGGAAAGGCTGCAATAATCTGGGCAAGAGCTGGTGGTGTCTGGACCAGGGTGAGAGCTATGGAGGAGGAGAGTGTGAAGTGTTTGATCCTGGCTAGATTTTGAAAGCAGAGAAGCCAGGATTTGCTGATAAATCAAATGTAGGGAGTGACAGACAGTGAGAGCTGAAGGATCATCCCTAAGTTTCTATTGGAGCTCCTGGAAGATATGAGCTGCTATTATTTGAGAAGGGGAAGATGAAAGAGGTTAGGCAAGCTTGGGCTGGACTACAATCCAAAGGAAGTCCGCTTTGGACATGTAGCCTTTGGATACCTATAGACATCCAATGGAGATGTCAAGGAAGCTTTTCTTAAGAGGAGATGGGAATAAAAATGTGGGCATTCTCAATGTATAGAGGTTTCAAAAGCATGAGTTACAGGACATGTGACATAGAGTCTTGGGGGTGGGAGGTTCTTAAGATTGGGGGAGTTAGGAGCAACTGATGGTGAAAATATGAGCCAGCCATGGGAAAATCAGAAGTGCTGCAGACAGTGTCAACAGCAAAGGCCTTGAGGTGGGCCTCTTCGGTGGGTGTTTCCCAGATGTGACCTCAGTGAGGAATCTCCACCATCCTGAGCAACTGGTAACAGTAGCCCGAGGCTTGGAGGATCAGTCTAGCTCAGATCAGCGCAGTTAGGCCAGTGGTAGGTAGTAAGAGGAAAGAGTTTGGGTTCATAGCGCCCTCTACTGGCGCAGACGGATATCAGCTCCATTTCCGACAATAACGGTTTATATATATATATATATATATTTATATATATATATATATATATATATATATATATATATATATATAAAATTAATGGAACACAGCCAGCGCTTAATAAATCCGTGACTCGACCTCTTTCATCCCTGTGCAGCATGGAGGATGGCACTAGTGGGGATGTACATGTAGGTGTACAATCAATGAATGAATGAGACGAATAGGTGAGGTCAGGTTCTAGACCTCAGTCTCTCCTGCAAATCTGGGATTCTTCTTTAACTGAATAAACTAATGTTGATTGAGTAGGTACTACGTGCTAGGTCCTATTCTAAGTGCTTGGGACAAAGCAATGAACAAAGCATACAAAAGCCTGTGCCAGGCACCGTGTAAATTTCTATACACATTTATCCTCATACAATCTTCACAATGTCCTTAATCCGAGATGCCGTCATTCACCCCAATTAGTTGACATACATTATTACATTAGTTTCAGGTGTACAACCAAGTTATTAGATACTTATATAACTTACAAAGTGATAACAAGACAATTTTTGATACTTTGAGGCAACGCTCTGCCTTTGGAGCGAACTTGACGCCCCAAGAGGACCAGTCCTTCGGTGGCCGTTGCCATGGACCCCTGACGCTCTCCGAGAGCTTCTGCCAGCCTTACGCCTCACGTGACGCTAGTCAATATGGCGCGGTCCAGGGTGTTTCACTGCCCACGTGGTTCTGGCAGGCAAGATGGCGGTAGCCAGCGCCAGTTCCCTGGAGTCGGCCCCGCGGATCTTGCGGCTGGTGGCCGAGTGCAGCCGCTCTAGGGCACGGGCAGGCGAGCTGCAGCTGCCGCACGGGCCGGTGGCCACTCCAGTATTTATGCCAGTGGGAACGCAGGCCACCATGAAGGGCATCACGGCGGAGCAGCTGGACGCGCTGGGCTGCCGCATCTGCTTGGGCAACACCTACCATCTGGGTCTGAGGCCGGTGGGTGGGAACTGCCCGTACGGGGTGGTGACGGAGCTTGGGGAGCCCTGGGGCATCCCCTAGGCCCGGGATGCCTCCAAAAGCCGGTCGACAAACGCCTATTGGTAGTCCCCGGTGGTCCAGGCCTTGTTCTGTGTGTGAGGGAGCAGCGGGGATCCAAGTTAGCCATCCCTGTCCGCCCACATGAGTTCCCAGGGTCGCGCTCACCCCGACACGACTCTTTCTTTTACCTCCCTCCGTCTCTCCACCCAGGGTCCCGAGCTGATCCAGAAAGCACACGGTCTCCACGGCTTCATGAATTGGCCCCACAACCTACTAACGGTGAGGCGGGACCGGGATGCGAGGACGCTCCTTGGAGGTGAATCTCTCCTAACTAGTCTCCTGACTGCCCTGCGGGTGTGTTTTCCCCAGGACAGCGGCGGCTTCCAGATGGTGTCCCTAGTGGCCCTGTCTGAGGTAACGGAGGAGGGCGTCCGCTTCCGCTCGCCCTACAACGGCGATGAGACCCTTTTGAGCCCCGAGAGGTCCGTGGAGATCCAGAACGCGCTGGGTGAGCAGATCCGGGAAGCCGCCCCTTCCACTACCTTTCGGGGTTAGGTGGAGTCGAGGCAGCCGGCTCCTTCTCTGTGGTGTGATTTTGGGAAGCCGCTCCCTTTTCCTGAGCTGCAGTTGAGCCAATTCAAATGCGGATAGTTCACAAGATTTATGATCTGATGTCGGTAAGTCTCGAAGCACAGCACAGTAAGGGATGCATATACTATCCCTTATCATCCTTGTTGCTATTATGATTTTTTTTAATCCTCATGCGAGGACATGGCCATTTATTCAAGAGAGGGGAAGGCAGAGACAGAGGGAGGGAAACATCGAATAGAGAGGAAAACGTCCATTGGTTGCCTCTAGGCCTGTGCCTTGCTATTGGACGTGGCCCAACCGACTGGTTTATATTCTCCATTTGTTTGTTTTCTGTTTAGTTTTGTTCTTTTCTTTTTTATAGCTTTATTGAGATATGATGCACATATAATTCATCCATTTAAAATGTACATTTCAGTATATTCACAGAGTTGTACAGCCATCACCACAGTGTAATTTCAGAACATTTTTATCGCCCCCAAAAGAAATCCCATACCCATTATTTGTCACTCATTGTTCCTCCCTCCCCAAGCCCTAACTAATTCACCTGTCTCTATAGATTTGCCTTTTCTAGGCATTTCAAGTAGATGAAATCATGCAATATGCGGTCTTTTGTGAGCAGCTTCTTTTACTTGGTATAATTTTTTTTTTTTTTTAATATGGAACACGTCACGAATTTGCCTGTCATCCTCTCACAGGGAACATGCTAATCTTCTCTGTCAGTCCGGTCTTACTGTATGTGCTCTCAAAGTGAGCACTGGTATAATGTTTTTGAGGTTCATCTATATTATAGTGTGATCAGTACTTTATTCCTTTTTATAGCCAAATAATATACTATTGAATGGATATGCTTCATTGATTTTTTTGATAGTTGCAATCTTACATACATATCCTATTTATTTTTTAATTACATTCTTTTTGCTTTGTTCCTGTTTTTCTAGCTTTTTAAACTCCTTAGATCATCAGTAATGATCAAACCAAATCCTAGACATTTTATCATTTCATCTGTAAGTATAGGGTCTGGTAGCAGTAACACCTGCTTGAGTGCAATTGGTAGGGTAATAATATGGGTGTAGTAATTTATAGTTTTAGTTTGAACATTTCACCTAAAATGTTATATGGTGTGCTTGAATGTGATATTATGTTACAGAATTACATGCTTATAATTTTGTAAGAAAAGATCTTGTAGTAAAAAAGGGGCATTCTTTGTACTGGGCCGTGTATTTTAATTTGTATCTCTAAAACAGAATTTTTTTTTTTTTTCCTATGTGGGATGGTTGGTCTTGAGCCTGCAGGGAGCAAGCTGGCCCCAGACTTCTCCAAGTCCACATTTCTTTGCCTCCAATTCTTACATGTCCAAAGACACGCCTTCGTAGGAGGATTAAAACAGAAATTTTTAAAAACAAACAAACCATAATACCACCACAAAATAATTAACAATAATTAATTAACATCATCAAATATCTGGTTGTCAGTGTTCCAAGTTATAGTTGCTTTATTTTTAACTTTAATCTTTATTGTATTTTTTTCCATTACTATGCAATTTCCTTATAACCCCCTCTCCCCATTTAGTTGTTTTATAAATGTCATTTTTTACCCCTATAGTCTATTTACTTTAGGGTCCAAATAATGTACAGATACTACAATTTGTTCGAGAGGTCTCATACTTCTCTTTTAATATATGTTATATATATTACATATTATATAGTTTCTCTCTACACTTTCTTTCTTTTTTTTTTTTTTTTGGCAATTTGCTTCTTGAAGAAACTGGTTTCTTTGCCTTGTATCATCTTCCACAGTCTGATCCCTTCTGTTGCTGATCACTTCTCTGTGGTGTCAAGTAACAGTGTTTCTCTGTACCCTAGATTTCCTGTTGGTTAATACTTGGATCTAGATGTCTGAGCCAGATTTAAATTCTTTTTGAGAGGAAGGGAGGAAGAGAGAGAGACATCAATCTGTTGTTCCACTTTTTTAAGCATTCATTGAGGCACTCATTGGTTTATTTATTTATTTTTTTAAAGGTTTTTTTTTTAGTTATTTATTTTTTAGAGGGGAACGGAGGGAGAAAGAGAGGGAGAAAAGGATCAATGTGCGGTTGCCTCTTGTGTGTCCCCTACTGGGGACCTGGCCAGCAACCCAGGCATGTGCCCTGACTGGGAATTGAAGCAGCACCCCTTTAGTTCACAGGCCAGCATTCAGTCCACTGAGCCACACCAGCCAGGGTTTATTGGTTTATTCTTGTATGTACCCTGACTGGAGATCAAAACTGCAACGTTGGCATACTGGGCAATGGTTTAACCAACTGAGCTCCCCAACCAGAGCCTGCAGATTCAAATTCTTTTTCCTTTTGGTAAGATGGCTTCATTGTGTGTATCGCCATTAGGGAGGGCCTAGTGTCTCTCCTTCTCTCCCAGTGAAGCATCCATGCGTCCTGCTTGGGACCATCGTGCCATTAGGAGTTGCAACACTGTGATGTTCTAATTCTGTCATTCTTCTGTAAAGACAACCATCTCTCACCTACTCCTGGGAGACCAAGTAGTTCAGTTCATACAGGAAGCATGGGATTCATTCTCTTCCCTTATTTACCAGTTTTCATGGGTTGACTTCTTAGTATCCTTTAGCGAGGCAAACTAACGTTTAGATTTTTAGGATCATCATGAACTCATGGATTTAGATGTATTTGATGTGTCTCAATCCATTGCAATTTTATCAGTTCTTACTGATCGTCAAGTCACCCCATCTTTGGCTAATGTGATGCACTATGCTTTTTTCCTATAATGATACGGGATACTTGAGCTTTTCTTACATGTAAGTCCACATGGAAGTCCACAGTAAGTCCACAATTCTTGGGGCCGAGAATTTTCACATTTTAGGAGATAATAAGCCCCACCTATTACACACACAGTGCCTCAGTGAGGTATGGGACAGTGCACTGTGGTGTTACACGTCCCTTTTTTTGAATTAAAAATTTGTGGTAAATACACATAACATAAGCCATCTTAACCATTTTTAAGTGTCCAATTCAGTGGCATTAAGTACATTCACATTGTTGTGCAACCATCCCTACATCCATCTCTAGAACTCTTTCATCTTGCAAAACCGAGACTCTCCCCATTAAATAATAGCTCCCTCTCTCCCTCTGCTTCTGGCACCTACCATTCTACTTGAAGAATTAGACTACTCTGGGTGAACACGTAAAGTATTTGTCTTTTTGTGACTGGCTTATTTCACTTAGCATATTATCCTCAAGGTTCAACTATGTTCTAGGATGTGTCAGAGTTTCCTTTCTTTTCAAGCCTGCACAGTATGCCATTGTATGTCTGTATCACATTTTATCTGTTCATTTGTTGATGGACACTTGGGTTGCGTTCACCTTTTGGCTATTGTGAATAATGCTGTGAACATGGGTATACCCATATCTCCTAAGATCCTGCTTTCAATTCTTTTGGGTATATGCCCAGAAGTGGAATCGCTAGATCATATGGTATACAGTGCACTTTTTCTGGATTAACACTTTATGAATCTTCATGTTAAATCGGATTTTTGAAAGGATTATTACCATCTTAGGCTTTGCTACCGAATGAGTGTGCCATAAACATGAGAAAAAGACTGATTTTGAGAAGTGTCTGGATTTTGGAATGGTGGGGAAGGCACATTCTGCTAAGAGCTGGACCATGGTTTATTAAACAGACCCCTGTTGATGGACACTTGGGTTCCTATCTTGCTACTGTTCACCACACATCACTTTGTACACATGATGTTTTGTTCTTGAAGGGTAAATTTGAAGAAGTGGGATTTTATTCTACATACCAGGGAAGGGGTTCGCTGGGGGAGGCAGTAACAGATGGGCATTTTGAAAGTTCCCTCTAGCTGCTGTATAAACGGTTGGGAGGTTAAGTGGGAGTCAGCAAGACCCAAGCGTGGACTTTTGGTGTACAGTTTTCCCCCAACAGGTGGGGTCTTCCCTAGTGGCAGTGCCCCATTTTCAACTGCTCCCCCTCCCCGCAGGGTCGGACATCATCATGCAGCTGGACGACGTGGTCAGCAGCACTCTGACGGGACCACGTGTGGAGGAGGCTATGTACAGGTGTGTGTGCGCATGTGCATCAGGGGCGGGCATCCTGATCCTGCACCCTTGTTTCCCTACCCTTCACTGGATTCAAAGGGCTGATTGGTCCTCTTGCAGATCAATCCGCTGGCTAGACCGGTGCATTGCAGCCCATCGGCATCCGGAGAAGCAGAATCTCTTTGCTATCATCCAGGGTGGGCTGGACGCGGATCTCCGGACCACCTGCCTCGAAGGTAGAGCCACGTTTGGCAGGACCAGAATTTGTCACATTGCTGAGAACCTTACATGGGTCAGGCATGTGATAGTGCTCAGACAGTGGTTATTAACGGGTGAAAACGTTCTCCAGGCGGAAAGAACAGCGGAAACAAAGGCCCAGAGGCAGAATGGAATAGAATGTTTGCAGAATAATAGTAATTCCAATAGATGTCAGTTTTTTCAGTATTCAGACACTATGCCAAGTGCTGGTCATGGATCATTCACATAACAGTCCTGTAAGGTGGGACCTATTAGTTCCTGGGGTTACAGAAGGGAAAACCAAGGCAGAGAGCTATTAAGTCACTTACCTCAAGCTAGACAGTTTGGATGTTACAGAGCTGGGATTTGGCTGTAGGCCTTGAGTTCTAGAACCTACAGCATTAATTGATACACCAAGATACTGGGGAGCCATGGAGGGCTGTTAAGTGGGAGAGTGACAGGAACCACCAGGGAAACCATAGAAAAACCATGGTAGTATAGGAAGCAGAAGGCACATGAGGAAGCGAGAGTTGTTGTCCAAAAGGGTGACTGAGGCCTAAACCAAGGCCATGGCCCAGGAGATGAAGGGGAGGAAGTCATGGGGGCAGAGAGAAGGAGAAGCAGCATTTCCTTTTGCTTGGTCACACCACGCCTTGCCCTGTTCCCTCAGAGATGACCAAGAGGGACGTGCCTGGCTTTGCCATCGGGGGACTGAGCGGGGGTGAGAGCAAGGGCCAGTTCTGGAAGATGGTGGCACTGAGCACTTCAAGGCTGCCCAAGGACAAGCCCCGATACCTGATGGGGGTTGGGTATGTCCATAAGCGGGGAAACTGCCTCACCTGTGGGGAGCAGATTCCTGGGGACCCTCTGTTCCCCTCTCTGCCTCCTTTTATCAGGGGAAAGGATCCAGCCTTGCTTGGGAGGGGACAAAGGAGGACATGGCCCTCGGTTGGGTATGGTTCTGAGGGTTCCAGTCTAGGGGGTCTGAGAATCCGGAACGGGGTCTGGGTGTGTAACCAGGGTTTGAGGTACTCTGCTCCCCTCCCCCCATGGCCCCACCCCCAGCTATGCCACCGATCTGGTGGTCTGCGTGGCTCTTGGATGCGACATGTTCGACTGCGTTTTCCCCACGAGGACAGCGGTGAGGCCTTGGGCAGGGGGCAAAAGGGGTGGGGCCTGTTGATGGGCCAAGGTGGAGGTGGGGCCAGAAGGGGTGAAGACCTGGTTGACCTGCCTTCCACCTCCTTTCCTCCCTCAGCGATTTGGCTCTGCCCTAGTGCCTACTGGGAATCTGCAGCTGAAGAAGAAGCAGTTTCAGAAGGACTTCCGCCCCATAGACCCTGAGTGTGCCTGTCCTACCTGCCAGAAGTAAGGGATGATGGGGCTGGAGGCTGGGGCAGGTTCGGAGCTGGCCAGGACCCTACAATGCTGAGCCCGGACTTCCTGTTCCCAGGCACAGCCGGGCCTTCCTGCACGCACTACTCCATAGTGACAACACTGCCGCCCTGCACCACCTCACTGTCCACAATATTGCCTATCAGGTAGGCCTGTGGCCTGGGTGGGCAAGGCAGGGGAGGGGGCAGGAGTCCCCTGGGTGCAGGTGGCTGACACTGACACTTCCGCTCCATAGCTGCAGCTGATGGGCGCCATGCGCGCCAGCATCGTGGAGAAACGCTTCCCTGACTTCGTGCGGGACTTCATGCGCACCATGTATGGGGGTCCCACCCTCTATCCCCCCTGGGCCACTGAAGCCCTGGCCTCTGTGGGAATCACACTGACTTGACTTCGCCTGGGGGAAGGAGGGAGGGGATGGAAGATATTGAAGGGTTTGGATTTTTTATTATAACTTAGAGTGTGTCTGTTTCTTCTTGGGGAGGTGGCCTGTCTTGGTCCGCTTCCTGGTCTGAGTGTCCTGCAGTCGGTGTCCCGTGCCTCTCATTGATAGTAATAACTAGTAACCATAGCAACAGCCAATATCTGGAAACCAACTCGTACAGCCCATCATGTAGGAAGTGCCCCAGAGGGGGAGCTGCATTCCTTTTCCTGTGGCCTAGACCTCCCAGCCACTACAGATGTCAATGCCCTTGTCCTTCCCCTTTTCACAGGTGAGTAAACAGGCCTAGAGAGGGGAAGTGGCTTACGTTAGTCACCACTGAGGAAGTAGCAGCCTGGCTCCAAAGCTCATATTCTTAGCTCTTCAAATATGAGGCTTAATCTTGCTATCAGTGAACAGTTAAAATAATGGTAAGTGTGATATAGTAGGTGCTTACACTGTACCTGCTCCTGTTCTAAGTGGTTGTCATGTGTATTTAATTCTTACAACTTTATGATGCATGAACAGCTACTTTCTCCATTTTATGGATTAGGAAACAGAGTTTCAGGGGAATGAAGTCACTTGGTCACTATTACACAGCAAATAAACAGGCCCAGGATCTAACCCAGATATGGCCAATTGCAGAGGTGGTGCTTTTAGAAGATAAGGGTTTTTAAGTTGAAAAAATATTACATGTGTAGGATCCACCATTCAGATAGTACATAAAAATGCACTATTTTGATCACTTTGTGTATCCTTTCAGAAACTTCCCATGTGTGCATACTTTTCATGCATGTCAGTGTCCTTTACATGCAGTTATGTACTTGACTTTTTATCCTTTCTCAGTATACATCAAATTGTTTACATGTCAGTACATGAAGACTTATTTTCTTTACAGCTGTTGCAGAGTATTTATTTAGCTCCATGGAGGGACAGTTAGGGTGTTTTGTGGTTTCTGCTGTTCTAGTCAAGGCCGCAATGCCAGTCCTTTTTGGGCGTCTTTTTACCCATCTATCTGAGACTACGGGTTTGGGTCTTGGAGCAGGCGTATGCTATTGGCCACTCTGCCATCCTCCTGTTTCTTCCTCACCTCCATTGCTCCTGACTTCTTACTGGGTTGCTTCTGCGTTTTTTAGACTCCTCAGTTTCTCTCTGGACCATCTATGTCCAAAGGGATAAAATCGCTTCTTTTCTTTTTCCTTTTGTTCGCTTAAAAGATTTTATTTATTTATTTTTAGAGAGACAAAGGGAGGGATAAAGAGAGGGAGAGAAATATGCATGTGAGACAGAAACATCAAATGGTTGCCTCTGAAATGTGCCCTGAATGGGGACTGAACTTGCAACCCAGGCATGTACCCAGACCCCAAATCAAACCAGAAACCTTGGGCTTTTCAGGGTGACGCCCAAGCGAGTCACACCAGTCAGGGCAAATCATTTCTTTTCTTAACATATCTGTTTATGGGTACAGAATCCTTTGAGTGTCATTGAGTACTGAAAAAAAGACCATGTACAGTACACTAAATTTGAAGAGTCAGATGGGTTTGTTAGCCCCATCAAGGTGGGAGTGAAGGAAGGTATTAGGAGAGGGCACAGCATTCGTAAGGCATAGAGGTGTGACCTCTATATATGAATGAGAGGGAGAGACAATGGCCAGCTAGACCTCTTCTTCCGAGGAACGGCTAGCATCGCCAGATTCTCACCTTAAAAGCGCTCTGAAACCCCGCGCAGAGAGCCGGTTTGCAAGGCCGGGGAAAGATGCATTCTGGGACCTGTAGTTTTCATTAGAGCTGAGAAACTCGCGAGTGACAATCCCCACGGGTCTCACCACGAGGAGTCGCTGTTTTGCTAGCATGGTGGGTCTTACTGTGCTCCGAAAGACTTAATAGACAAACAACAATCACGAGTAAGAACGGGAGATTGTTGATTGACAGATAGAGCTTTAAATTAGAGGTTAAGGCCCTCCTCTCGGTTTGTTGGCTGATGGAATGATATTTATGTAAGCCAATGGGGAATTTTTAGGGAACTAAGTAGCGTCAAGTGACAAACCCCGTCTAAAGATTTGGTCCCTAAAGTCATTGGCTAGCGTCATTGATTGGAGGCTCTTCCTACCAATAAACCTGGCGGGTTTGCCTGGTATCCGGGAACTCCCCTAGTGGGCGGAGCCAACATGCACTTTCCTGGAACACCACCCACCAGCCTTGACATGTCGCTGCCCGCTGCTATTGGCTCAAGCATAATAGCGACAGGTCTTAGCGTCCAATGAACCCGCGAGGAGGTCCCCAGGGGTAAGCCTCACTCAGCCCTAAGTTCATGCTTCACTTTCATTGGCTGGTTTATATGAGTGGCAGTGTGGTCTGCCAGTCAGAGGTGTCGCGAGGGTTTTGGGGCCGGGGCGGGAGGTCGCCCCGGTCGGGTGTCGCCTGAGAACCGGATGAAGTGGCGACCGTGAGGCCGAGGGAGCGGGCGTTGCGCTGAGCCCCTGGCGGGGAGCAACGGCTGCGGACGCCGCGGGACCGCGTCGTTGAGGGACGGGGGAGGGCAGGGAGCGCTGGGCGCTCGGGCCGGGGCCGCCGGCGCCATGGGCAACCGCGGGATGGAAGAGCTTATCCCGCTGGTCAACAAGCTACAGGACGCCTTCAGCTCCATCGGTCAGAGCTGCCACCTGGACCTGCCGCAGATTGCCGTGGTGGGCGGCCAGAGCGCGGGCAAGAGCTCGGTGCTTGAGAACTTCGTGGGCCGGTAAGGAGTGCGGTGGCGACGACCCGCGGGCGGCGGCCTAGGGCGGGGAGGGCAGACCGGGAATGGCGCGCCCTGCGCCTCCAGCGTAACTGCGGCGCTTGCGTGCCGGTGACGGGGACAGGGGCAGGGAGGCGGGCCCTGTGGGTCGCCGTGAGCGTAGGGTTCCTTGAGGGGCCTGGGGAGCCGGCCCAGGCCCAAGGGGCGCCTCACGGGCTGGGAGGCGTGGGCCAGGATGTGGGGTGGACCCCTGCCGACTCTGGACACCAGTTCCATTCGGTGGATTCTACCATCAGATTGCCAGTGGGTCAGGGGTAGGGCTCCCGTCTCTGCCCGAAACGTGTCACCTAGATATCTGTTGGACCGACCCCTGCCGTCTGGCTGGCTGTTAATTTATCTGGAGTAGGCCCTGCCGCCTGGTTGGCTGAATCTCTGTCCTGGATAGGCCTCCCTGCTACCACCATTTGGCTGTCCATCTGTCCAGTTCTGCGGGGCAGCTCCCTGCTGTCTAGCTAGCTGTCCAGGGTGACCCGTGCTGTCTGGTCGCCTATCCGTGCCTTTCGCAGACTAATAACAGTTAGCCATCTCTCTGTTGCGTTACCCCAGCTGGCCTCTGCTGTTTGACTGGCTGTCTGGACCCTAGGGGACCCTGTTGTCTGCTTCGCCTGAGCTGACTCCTCAGCTTGGTCCCTGGCAAACACTGGCTCTTCTCTCCCAAGTTCATCTTTTTGTCTGTCTGTTTAGTGTCTTTTCTTCTCCTAGTCTGCCCACCAGTGCCCTAACAACCCCTGGCTGCCTGGCCCAACCTTTGGCAGGGAGTGGTAGGAGCATAGAGAAGAGAAGGGGGCTGAAGGATGAGACTCGAACTGGTCACTTCTCAGTTGGAAGTAGGACTCCAGGGGGAATTTTCTACAGGATTCTTTCCTGGCCCACGTCAGGGTGTTCCAGGGCCCTGGAACACAGGGACCAGCCCCCGACCTAAATCCTGCCAGTTGGGGGACCTCTTGGAGCCTGGGAAGGAACTTCTTGTCTGGCTAGGACTTCACGGTGAGAGTTGGGATAAGGTCTTCCCTGGGCAGCCCTGGGAAGTCTTAGTTTGCATATCTGCCCAGTAGGTAAATTGTACTCTCTGGGCTGTTTCAGGCATTTGGGAAACTAATGAATGAGAACTGGTCCTGTGGCCAGTTCCTTTTTCTGCCTGTTGTCTTTCTGCCTCTCAGATGGGCTGGCAGCTGCATTTCCATTCCAGGAAGGACTGTCATTTGTGACTGTGTGGCTGCCAAGTGACAACATCATAGTTGTTGTTATTATTACTATTGTTGTTATCAGTGTTAAGAAGCAGTGTTCAACAGCAAGTGCCAGGCTGAGTTCTTTCTTTTCTTTTTTTTAAAAATCCTCACTTGATGATTTGTTTATTGATTTTAGAGACAGAGGGGAAGGGGGAGGGGGGGGAGAGACATCGATGTGAGGAACATCTCTCAGTTACCTCCAGTACGCACCCCAACTGGGGATCGAACCCACAACTCTGTGGTGTACGGGATGATGCTCCAACCAACTGAGCCACCTGGCCTGGTAAGGCTGAGTTCTTTCTTTGTTCAGCATCTTGACTTCCATGATAAGCAAGTGGGGTGGAGATTCTGTTATACCCACTTTAGAGATGAGCAGGGAGGCTCAGAAAGGACTTGCTGTTTGCCCAAGGCCACCAAGCTGGTGCTCAGTGGAGCGCACACAAGTGCCTGGCCCTGTCCCTGCCTTTCCAGAGGCCTGGGGTTTTGCTCCCAGCATTTCCTCGTTTGTCTCTGGTGCTTCGTCATCTGTCCGCTGTGGCAGAAAGGTGTTGTTTTGCGGTCAGCCAGGCTTGGGCTGTGGGCCTCTCTGCACGACCATCTTCCTGCCTGCCCAAGCTTCTGGTGGGTATCTGCAAAGCTCTATTTCAGTTGCTTTTGAGTTTGTACAGTTTTTGATCCCTCCAGGCCTCGGCTTCCCCTCCTAAAAATGGGGTGATGGTCTATCAAGATTGTGGCAAGGATACAGTGGCTTAGTGTGTTGAAAGTGCTTACTTGGCACAGTGCTTGCACACAGTAGGTCTATACGGCCATTATTCATTGGTCTGGCTCCTCTCATCTTGACAATAAAAGCTAATCAGAATTAAAGTGCTCTGAAGTTTCACACTGAACTTCACTTAAGCCTTATTAGGGTGGCATTGCTATCATCCTATTCTATAGAGCAGGAAACAGGCTCAGAGAGCTGAGCACTCTTGCTTGAGGTTG